ACTGTCAACAGCATTATTTTCCGTATAAGTGTGTTTGCTTATAAGTTGTTAATTTGTTGTGTTATAGTTAGCTCTGCATGCAATGAACTGAGAGTTTGCCCAGCTCTCATGACGCTACCCCGTTTTGGATAAGCTGCGATTTCGTCAGGAAAAATTGTAAAAACAGGCTTAGCCGTGATTGTAAAATGATGGAGGAGCGATACAATTTCGCAAGCGAAAGAGCTGCTTGATTGAAAATCTGCAATAACTTATTTCGAAACCAAGCTTTTTGTTGCAAGTTTGCTATGTGCTACACCCAAGCCGTTTCAAAATCCTGTTTACTTAATTAATATCCAGTCATCTTCCCTTTCATAGTGTCCATGAGTAATAAATAGCCGATGAAGTCATTTCTGGAGTTCTTGCAAATTCTTGCGCTTTCCGTCACCTGCTATCACTAAACAAATCGTTAAATGGTTGTTGTTTTATCCAAGTGACTCTAATACTTAGTTAAGGGGATCGAGTTTAAAATTCCTGTAAGAACTGATATGAATCCGTTTGTTGTGATAGCTGACGAAATGCGACCGACCTACAGACCTATGTGGCGTGAAGTTGCGAGGACTTTTGAGGTTTGGAGATAATGAAATCAAAAGGAAGTGCTTGGGATGTTGTCTTTTCCGACCTCTCGCTGAACACGGCATTATCCGCGTTAACGCACGGAAACCCACGAAAGCGTGCGCTTTGAATCAAAGAATGATTTCGTGGGAAGCGCGTCTCACGCGAAAGTATTTTGCATTTCCCGGGAAAAAAATGGACACAGCAACCGCAAAATAAGATGCATTTGCACAATGCCTATATAGCAACGTCGCGAATTTTTTCATTTGATTTCATTTCCGGCAGCTCGGACCGTCCGTCAATCAAGCGGCATGTTCAAAAGAAGAAGGGTGGTCTTGGCTCTTCTGCGAAACAAACTACGCGGGTCCGACTGACAATAGATCACGCGAGAGCCAATCACAGAGGCGCTTCTAAGTTGTATTAGTCAATTAGCGCAGAGCTACACGATAGTAGATTTGCCAATGATTTGTGTAGTAGACAAGAAGAGTGTAAACTTGGAACAGCGCTTCAAATGCGTATCATTGCGAGTGGGGGGGTGGAAGAGGAACACAAACCTCCCACGCTCCTCGCTTGATCGGCGAACTCGGAAAAAAATTCCAAAGCGATTACAAAATCATAAGGCGCGGTCCTGAAAATTCGAAGCGCACGGTCAAGGATTTCATTTACGCGTCGCGCGCACGGCACTGAAAATAATTTTCTGGTGCGCGCACAGTCCGCACAATGAGTGATCCTAGCACGGTGGCGCCACAAGAAGAGAGCGTTGCAAACGCTGCAACGGAAACAACACAGGAAACCGTGAACGAACTCGCTCGAGATGAAAAGCTCTTGTCAACGGAAGTGCCCAGGAAAGGCAAGAGAGGACGGCCGAGAAAAAACTTTCCCGAGGTACAACTGTGTGTGTTGTGAATGTAACTTGTTACGGATAAATTTCATTGCTAGCGTCGTCGCGAAGTTGGCACTGAAGGGTCACATGCAGGAATATGAGGTCATTCGCTTGAGGACTAAATTTAGCTCAGCTTAATATCGATCATCAATGTTTGTTAACTTTCTCGCCACAGAAGCCTCAAGATGACGGAGCACCCGTTATAAAACGACCACGAGGAAGGCCAAAAGGATCCAAGAATAAAAACCCTAAGGTACGAAGCTTGTCAGAATTAAGGCCTCCCCTTAGCGCGCGCTCATGTACTGCGCTGAGTTATCATCAGTGATAGAGTGGCGTGCTACACGGGCCATTGTATTGATACAGCATCTGTAAAATGCATGGCTTTGTTGTCGATATTTTTGGCCTAACTTGTTGCTTCTTGTACTATGTATTACTCTGTAACTCCGCGATCAGTAATCACGCTGGATGTAAGCAACTCTTTGCTCTCAACAGTTGTCGAATTTTCCAACCATTGGGATTGTGTGGGGTTTTTTTGCTCTCTGTCCCTCTCTCTTTTCTGGGGTACGGCCAAGAAAATGTAACATCGTACTTGAACAGTGCGGACGCTTTTTGTTTTGTGGTTAATAATGCAGAAAAGACCCAAGTGCCAGTCTCTTTGTGCTATCAATGTTTACAACTTTGGCGCATAATAACTTAGTTATGCGTGCTGAGCAGGAGAGCTGTTGCGCGCGCTTAACGACACGAAAACTTCGCGCTTTGTGAAAAGCCTCCGAGTGGAATCTTAGCGGCTTTGCCTGTAATGTTATCGACAATTTACCATTCTTCTATTCGACTTCCGGTATTTAAAACCCGTTTGGAAAACTTTTCGCGAACGTTTGTCTCACGAAGCGTGAAATTCTCTGCATAGTTTCGTGCAGTACACCCATAAATCACTTAAAAATCACGTGAGTTTACGCACGACGCATGCGTGATCTACGCGCAATACAGCACGTGTTGTGTCCGTTGTTTTCGCGGGAAAAAAATTCGCGCGGTGTAGAAACATATCGCGACTTGAATGACATGGTAATAAAGGCCATACACGTGCGTGGTTTTGTGTAGGCTCTTTGTGTCGCATCTGCACAATGTGTGTAATAGCTTTAATCGGAAAACACAGCTCCTATGAAAAGTACACAGTCGTGATATTGAGGGATAAATCTTGGCTAGTTGCCCAATTAGCCTCGAAAAAGTTATCGTCGAAAATTTGAATCGGTAGCGATCGCGATAGCAAAGTGGAGTTTGAACGCCTCTGAAAAGCGATCCGTTAGTGCGAGCAGAAAATTGAAATCCTCCACGGATGTTGTAGTGGGCTAATACTTCCTGGCTTAATACCGGAGCCAAATGAATTTCGTTTAGCGATGACAAATCATAATGTCCATTGTACGATAATTTTTCACGTGGGATTGTCTTGTGAAATGCAAACATTGTACCACCGAACGAGCGGTCATTGAATGAAATTGTGTTCGGTGACCTTCGCATAGATGTTTGCGAAACTCGTGGATGAATCGCCCTGCCCCCTCGTTGAAATGTTTTTATGTGTTTTAAATAACTACTTCTTCAGGACATTTTTTCGGGGCTATGTCAATAGCGCTTCGTCGGACCACGTGTTTTCGATGCGGTGTTCTCCTGTGCTTTATCGAGGATTAAACGTGCTTCATACGTTTTTTTCAGTGTTTTTTTTTTGAGCACGTACAGAAACATTGATAATAACGTTACAAGTTTTCTTCATTTTGGATAAAGCAATCGAAGTTTTAATAGGCAAGGAAAAGGTACAACACCATCAATTTGAAAGAGGCCGGAAACCGCAATGGTGAACTTCGGTCGTGTTCCTTTGTTAAGCTGGATAAAAAACGTTACCAAAACAAAACCGTGCAAAGAAACACTTAAAAAACGCGTCTTCTCTCTCCTGCTGTTATTTTGCTACAAGTCGTCTCCAATACAACGTATTGACCGCGAGACAAATGTTTTATTTTTTATATTTTACCGCCTTCGCTTCCGTGGAAGACATATTGAAAGTGAGTCAAAGTGTAGATGCTATCTCAGGCGCTCTGCCCGGCCGGCCGCCTACCTTGATTATGCTAATGGAACAAATTTGAAAACAATTCCTTGATATCTCCTAATCATTTAATAATCCCACAGTCGAGTTATTTTCTGCAGGTGACACTTTTAAAGAAAGTTCTGCCCGATTGACTTCCTTTTAAAATTATCAACAATGTTAGTTTCTCACACTGGACAGCTGCTATAAGATAAGATTGTTTCTAAATATACATGAAATACATGAATATATATGTATATATTTTTCTTTTTTTAATTTACTTCCCTTCTTTATGCAGTTCTGTTTGTCAGGCAATAATCACACCATATTAGAAACTCAACTGTGGAGAGTAAATTTCCTTTTAATTAGCGAGCAAATGCTTCTTCGCCAAGGTAAAACTTATAAAAACCGACTTGACAACTTCTGTAAAATTTCCGTTATTTTATCGTAATAAATTGATTATTAAAGATTTACAGGGCCAAATCTTTGCAATATCTTCACTTTGTTGTTTATTTTCTTTGCGAACGAAGGTTGCGAAATTCACCAAAAAAAAAACTAGACACATTTAAGAAATTGTTGTCATTAATAGAATCTCCTTAACCCTGAGAGTAAGGCTTATTTCGAATTCGTTATTGTACATAAGTAATTTTAAATATGCCACCACATGTTCAACATATTTAATAACGCTATTTTGATTGTTGAAATCTATGAAATTTCGTAAGTCTCTTTGGAACAATGACACAATAAAAAGCTGCAGCTCTCGTGGAAAAAAGATGAACAAAACGTCATTAAAGGATTAAAAGCTAAGAGATTTCTTAAGATGTTGTGTTCGATGGCTAATGACGGATGCTGATTCCTTTGTTTCTGCTTCTGCTTTTTCGTACACCAATGGGAGACGGTTCGTCTCTATGTAATACCAAAGACAATACTTAAGGAATTAATTTAGAACATCAAAGACATTTTCATTCGAAATTTTCAGAATAAGTTTAATGCATGTCAAAACTAGACAAAAATGTTCATAAGCTTCCTAAATATGGAGATATTAGGCTTTGATCAAGCAGTGTGGTCCCTTTCCCTCAAGGCTCAAGAGTGATCAATGCCTGATTCTCTTTAGAACAATACAATGACAAGCAGACTGGACAGATTATGACAATTATGAAAATTATTCACCAGGGGATAGTTGTGGGGCCCTACCAAATTTGAAAGAAATTGTATAACAATCAAACATGTATCCCAAGCTTAAGACTTCCTCGATTCACAAAGTGGCTTGAACAAGATATAGAGGACTTTCAATGCTTTTTATCTTCAATAGGACTGCCTCCTCTACATTGTATTGTGACAAAATAGGTAACTAAGATGTATTTGTTTTATCCTTGGTCTCCTAGTATCTGCTCTTTCTCACAGCAGTACATACCCGCTGAATTAATTTGCTGCTTCTTAACAGCTGTTTCAGCCTTCACTCAGAAAGTGAAGTAAATTAAATCTGAATGCCACATGCAACTTGGGTTGTAATCATGAACTTATTGTCTGACCAGGGAGTCGTCAAATCTGTTGTTACATTGATTACCTCTGGAATAGCTGACAATAACCTAGGGTAAACATTTTGTAACAAAGAAGGCATAGGCTGTACAATTGTAACATCCAACCTTTAACTTTTGAAAGAAATTAATGGAATTGTAGATCTCACTTTTTTCTTCACTTTTTTCCTTCTTTTCACCACAGTTCTCAGATATGATTGATTTTTTACTCTTCATTGTCACCTAATCTTTGTTAAAATGAAATTTTTAATTTCGAGTTTTCTGAGATTTCAAAAGATCCCAATTGTGTGATAGTTTTATGACTGAAGGTTAAATGTAAATGGAATATGAATATATAAATACTTCTTCTACCTTGTAATTAAGTGGCCTTGCTGGTTGCCATAATTAACATTATTAACTCACAGAACAATTCCCATATTAAAATTCGTAACATTATTAAAAGCTTTTTG